TTTGGAACATTCCTCCCTTAACAAACAAAAATCGCAATTAGTATTTTTGAGGTTTACAAATATAAGTTTTTACAATTTTGATTAACTAATTACAAGTAAACTATGATAGCTAGGAATCTCGGAAATGGTTCGTTTTAAAGCTTGAAGTTTTATCTTTAATTAGAGTATTAATTGTTCTTAGATCGTTGTTTGGTAATTGAGTAAAATAATAAAATATGAAGAGACTGCATTAAAAAATATGTATGTTAATCAGTGATAGCTACAAACCTCGCAAATATCTTGTCGAAAAGTTTGTATATTCATCTTTTGTTATAGTATTAATTCATATTTGTATGATGCGTAGAGATCAATAAAACGTGAAAACACTTTAATTTTATAGTTTTCCATAAAACAAATTTTTTAATTTTCAAAAATTAATTAGAAAACAAAAAACATGATAGCTGCAAATCTAGATAATTGCTCATTAGGAAGCTGGTATATTTATCTTTCCTTAGAGTATTAATATATAAAAATTATGAAAGGTTTTCGTCTCTAAAAATAATTTTTTTATTATAAAAATTAATTACTGAAAAACCGTGATAGCTATAAATCTTGCGACTAACTTCATTGAATATATGTCTTTAATGAATGTCTTATTTTTTAATTATCTGAAATGTAATGGTTGAGAAAAAATATAAAAATATATATTTGAAAATTTCAAAGATTTAAAAAAAAATGTTTATTCAACTTTAAATAAATTAATTGCAGAAAAACCATGATAGATGCAAACCATAATAATTTCTCATTGAAAAGCCTGTATATTTATCTTTAATTAAAATATTAATTTGTATTTCTGCTATGTGTATTCATTGAGAAATATAACAATACCTGAAAACATTTCAATTTCAAGATTTTTTTTTCAAATTCAATAATTAATTGCTGAAAAACAATGATACTTGCAAACCATAATAATTTCTCACTGGAAAGCCTGTATATTTATCTTTAATTAAAGTATTAATGTATGTTTGTACGACGCAAGATTATTGAGAAATATAGCAAAACCTTATGACACTTCAACTTCAAGAATTATTTTTTTTTTCAAATTCAATAATTAATTGCAGAAAAACCATGATAGTTGCAAACTATAATAATTTCTCAATGAAAATCCTGTATATTTATATTTAATTAAAATATTAATTTATGTTTGTACTATGCAAGATTATTGAGAAATATAGCAAAAGCTTAAGACATTTCAATTTCAAGAATTCATTTTTTTTTTCAAATTCAATAATTAATTGCAGAAAAACCATGATAGTTGCAAACCATAATAATTTCTCATTGAAAAGCCTGTATATTGATCTTCAATTAAAATAATAATTTGTATTTGTTCTATGTGTATTAATTGAGAAATATAACATTACCTGAAAACAATTCAATTTCAAGATTTTTTTTTTCAAATTCAAAAATTAATTGCAGAAATTCATACAAATCTTTGGATTATATTGTGAGAAAGCTTATATATTTGTCTTTCATTAAAGTATCAATTTATATATGTGCGTTGTGTTATAATCAAGAAAAATAATAAAACCTGAAGACACTTCAATTTCAAGATATAAAAAAAGTTCAATTTAGAAAATTAATTACAGTAAAACCATGATAGTTGCAAATCTCGAGAATAGTTTGTCAGAAAGCCTGCATATTTAGCTTTAATTAAAGTATTAATTAATATTTGTGCTATGTGTGGTAATCGAAAAATATAGTAAAATGTGAGGAAAAATGATTTTTCAACTTTGACAATTAAATAAAGTATAAATTGTTGGCTGCTTTTGAGCTACTGCAATTAGTATAGCAATTAGCGATATTCCAGTGAAAAGCTAAGGTTTAGAAGTAGTTAATTTACTAACGGCGTCGTCTTCAGGGGATACGTCTACGACCAAAGCAATTCCAGGTAAAACGTACTTTGCTACTATGTATAGTGTACATTACAATATAAGCTGTTGATGTTTTCCACTAACCGTGTACAAATAATAACTATATTTCTATTATCTCTTTTACTCTTATCTTTACTCTTATACTTTTCTCGCTAATCTCTGAAGACTCAACAAGAGTTGCAAATAAAATACGCTGAGATAATTTGTTTGTGTTCCGAAAACACAAAAACTGAAAAAAATGTATGTAATTATTATGTAATTGTCTCCAAATTTGAAGGTAAATGCTGGAATTAATTACAGACTTTTTTTGTAGTAATTTACATTAACAAACACAAAAAAAATATAAAGAAATCATTAAACGGGAGTCAAGTGGCGACACAGTAATGAGTGGTTTCTATTGAAATTCCCTTTTAACCTTTTTTTTTCACTAACTTCCAAAAGTCAAACAAATCTTCAAGCAAAGAATGGAAGGACTCTCCAGAAGCATTCTTTTGTTAATGGAGGATAATCCCACTAATAAAACCTTTTCCTCCCTTTGAGACCATATTCAAATAAAANNNNAAATCGTCAATTTCCGAAAATATTCCGTACAGCGTAAATCCACGGTTTCCTATTGAAAGACTAAATTTGATACTTTTATGGAAACGTTGTAAAGTTTATAAGGGTCGAGGGACTTTCGACCTTAAAGCTCAGTTGGCGTCAGGTAAAGAGTGACCTTCACTGGGATTAACTATATTATACCTATAATCTCTGCTTGGCACGCGTCAAATGCCTGACTTCGAAAATATGCAGTGGCACAAGTCAATCCCTAGAATTTTCGAAAATTAAATGAAAATGCTTTGAAATTCTATGAAATTTAGATTATCTTCAAATAATATATACGTTTATTAACTTAATCCATCAATATGAAACTGCTTTTTCAGCAATTACAGGAAATTCTTGACAGTTGAAAATAATATAACTGAAGACATTTCAATTTTTGTAGCTTCAAGAAATAAATTTACAATTTTGAAAATGAATTACAGAAAATGCATGTTAGATATAAATCTCGATAATAGCTCATTAGAAAGCATGTATATTTGTCTTTCATTCAGGTATTAATTGATATTTGTGCGATGTCTGATAATCGAGAAAAATAATAAAACGTGAAGCCATTTCAATTTTTGTAGCTTCAAGAAATAATTTTACAATTTTGAAAATGAATTACAGAAAATTCATGTTAGTTGCAAATATCGATAATAGCTCATTAGAAAGCTTGTATATTTATCTTTCATTCAAGCATTAATTGACATTTGTGCGATGAGTGATAATCGAGAAAAATAATAAAACGTGAAGACATTTCAATTTTTGTAGCTTCAAGAAATAATTTTACAATTTTGAAAATGAATTACAGAAAATCCATGATAGTTGCAAATCTCGATAATAGCTCATTAGAAAGCTTGTATATTTATCTTTCATTCAAGTATTAATTGATATTTGTGCGATGTCTGATAATTGAGAAAAATAATATAACGTGAAGACATTTCAATTTTTGTAGTTTCAAGAAATCATTTTACAATTTAGAAAATGAATTACAGAAAATCCATGTAATTTGTAAATCTCGATAATAGCTAATTAGAAAGCTTGTATATTTATCTTTCATTCAAGTATTAATTGACATTTGTGCAATGAGTGATAATCGAGAAAATTAATATAACGTGAAGACATTTCAATTTTTGTAGCTTCAAGAAATAATTTTACAATTTTGAAAATGAATTACAGAAAATCCATGA